TTTTAAAAGTGCTTTTGATTTACAAGGCAGCATTTCTTTCATTTCCTTGCTTTTTATGTTATTTCTAATATAAGTGCTTACAAATCCAGGTCTTGTAGGTGCCTTCCGCTCCTTTTCTTGGGCAAGAGGGGCTGCTGCTCCTGTTTAACTTGGATGACGCGTTCTGACACTGGAACAATGGAAGCCGCCCCGTTGCTGGTCCTGCCATGGAGTCTCCGAAAGAAGACTTCTTCTTCCTTTATTCCCCCCTCCCCGTGCTGTCAGGTGTGGAGGAAAGGCCTGTGTTGCCCCACCCCCAAGGGAACTCCCAGAAATGAGGACAGATACTGGCCTCATTAAAGAGATCCGCACAGGCACACTTTAGAAATAAATTCCACTTTTTAAACGGAAATACATGGTTGGGCGAACTGGGACCGGGTGACCAGCATGCTCCTCACGGGCTTGGAGACTGTGGACTCGGCAGCCCCTGGTCTGCCCTCTCTTTGGGGGGCATTGCAGTCTTTAAGCCTGGCTTGGGCTGGGCAGTCCCTCAGCTAGAGGACTGCCCTCTGCAGAACACATGGCCACCCAACAGGAGGCAGTGCCTTGCACAAGAAACCCCGTCTCCCCACGGCCGTTTGCATTGTCCGCATTTTCCCGTGCTGCCATGAAATGGGTTTAGGTGGCATCGCCACCCCTTGATGTGCATAAGCGACTCAACCCTGTGAAGGTGCAAATATTTTCATTGTGTCCTCAGGGTGGGGAGCTCCAGGCACATGGGCCAAATCCGGCCCTTGGGGGTCACTAGATGGCTACATCCCTCCAATTGCCCAGCTTTTGTGCCCTTTCTCTCCCTTCTCAGAAGCTGAGGCGCCTCGCTTAAGGCACAGTTCTTGGCAGTAAGAGCTGGATCCTTGAACCAGTTTTAGAGAACTGATGAATTAAGAGCCCAGCCCATATCCTGGGAGGTTTTCTTGATGAGGCTTCTACAAATATGCTTAAGCATAAGATTAAAGACACAATTCTATGCAAGTTTAGACAGGGAAAAAAGCGGGGAGCTGCAGGTCTTTCCCTGCCTAAACCTGCATAGTCTAGCAGGATTAAGATGCGGAGTCCACCTTCTAGGGCAATAGGCATATTGCAAAGGAGAAAAGACCTGAACTCCCAGCAAGACAAGCAAGCAAAATTCAAACATTTTGGGAAACTAAATCTTCCTAGCTAGAATTCCTAAATTCTAATCCCCAAAGCACTGAGATTGGCTAAGAATGGTGCTCTGTATATGCTCAGCAGCACCTTCTCTTCTAAACCGGCCACCAGGTTGTAGTAACACAGGATGTGTCACAAATATCAATATTTACCGAGCTCAGAGAGCAGCGCACTCCCATTTCTGGCAGCTCATGCAAGTGAGCCAAACCACACACTCTTGATGGAAAGATATGAAGTAAGGCTCTATGTATGGAATGCCTATTTCCTTGTTTGGGGACTCCCACAACTTGGAAAATACCACGTATTTACAAACTACTTTAATATCACTTTCCACCTCTGAGCTTAGGGGCTAAAAGTGGTCCTCTCTTGAAACATAGAAACAGAGTGAGTCAGAAGGGGCCTCCCAGGCCATCTAGTCTGACCTCCGGCTCCAGCTGGCTCCGCTCACAACATGCCCACCATGTGGACGTCAGCTTATCCTTGAACACCCGCACTGATGGGGCCTCAACGACCTCTCGAGGAAGCCCATTGCACACCCTCGGGGTCCTGACTGTCAGGAAGTGCTTCTGGGCATCCAAATGGAACCTTGGCTCCATGAACTTTGCTCCGTTGGAGCGCGTCCTGCCTTCCTCTGCAGGGGAGAACAGGTCTCTACCCATCTCCATGTGACATCCCCTCACATACCTGTATGTCGCCAACAGATCCCCTCTGAGTCTCCTCTTCTCCAGGCTGAAGAGACCCCGTTCTCTCCGTCTCGCCTCATAAGGCATCCCCTGCAAACCGGCCACCAACCTTGTGGCCCTACGCTGCACTGACTCCAACCTGGCTATATCCTTCCTGTAATGAGGGGCCCAAAACTGAGCACAATACTCCAATTGTGGGCGCACCAGAGTTGTATAGAGTGGTAGTAATACCTCTCTCGATCTAGAAGCCACGCTTCTGGCTATGCAACCAAGGGTGGCGTTCGCCCTCTTGACCACCGCATCACACAGCTGGCTTATGTTCAGCCTGCAGTCAACCAGCACCCCGAGGTCCCTTTCACAAGTGCTGCTCTCCAGCCACTTGTCACCTAACCTGTACTTATGACAGCTATTCCGATGCCCCAAGTGCAAGACCTTGCACTGATCCACCTTGAACACCATCCTGTTGTCTCCTGCCCACTTCCATAGTCTGTCCAGATCCTTTTGGATCTGGAGTACCTGCTCCTCAGTTGTGGCCACCGCTCCAGTTTTAGTGTCATCTGCGAATTCGATCAGCAGACCGTTCACTCCTTCTTCATGCAGAGGATCACACCGTTAGATGATTACTTTCAGGGGCAACATTATCCTTTAGGAATTATATGCTGTACATTTTTCTAGGAAAAAGTTGGAGCAATTGAAGCCAAGATTAAGCATCACCCAGGAGTCTTATAAGCAAAAGAATAGTGCATTGAAAGCCGCTGCGTCTGTAACAGTACATTTGTGGTCAGAGCTAAGCCCCCTCCTTCAATGGGACTTCCTCTCAGAGAAATTAGCACAGGACAGCTGCTTAAGGTGGTTTTGTTTTGTTTTTTTTAAAATCTGTATACTTCTTCATTTTGGTGTGATTTTATGATTGCATTGCATTTATGCCCAGCTTTTCTTTCTCTTCCAAGGAACCCACAGCAGCTTACCAAGCTGTGCTCCACTCCATTTTATTCTCACAACAACCCTGTGAGGTGGGTGAAGCTGAGACCATGTGACTAGCCCGAAGTTACCTAGCGAGGTTCATGGCTGAGCTGACTCAGAACTCCCGAGTCCCGGTCCTGCACGCTAGCCACTACCCTACGCTGGCTCTCAGTGCTTCTAATGCTTTTGTTTTACTGTTGCATTTAATTGCATTTTAATACATGATTTCAGCTTCCTTGGTGGAGAGGCAGGGTCCAAAGGAGGGGAAAAAAATCGCACGACTCCCAGGGTGCCCCAGCCACCATAAAGGATTACACCCTAATAATAACAGTAATAATAGACAAGGCAATAAATCCCACCACCAATTTGTTCCTTTTGCTCCAGTTCGGACTCGCTGCCCTTCTTCCCATGTCCCCTTCTTCCCCGCTTGCTTACTTCACGCCCATACTTTCCTTCACAAGAGGGCGCCTCATTCCCAGCCTGGACTCTCTTTCCCACCAACTCACTTTTCCCAACGCGGGAGCCGCTCTTTCTTGTATCTATGGTCTTGCTGGGACCGAGCGGGGGAATTCCGAGCTCGTCGGGCCTATGGCCGCGCAGCAACCAATCCGAGGCTTCCCTGCCCATTCCGCGGTCACAGGCACAACTAAAGCGTATCAGCATTTCCGGTTCTTGTGGAACGCGTGCGGGGGTGAAAAAAAACTGTTGCCAAGATACCCTGAAATCGAAGACAATAAAACGATCCAGTTTATGTCTCTGTAAAGGAAACAGAAGAAATTTCGGAGCGGTGTTGTGGGGCGAGACCTTCTTCATTGCATATTTTCCCTCCAGCTCAACAACATTCTGTTTCACATAGAAACCGGAACTATCTCACCGACCTTCCTATCCTTCTACCGTAGCCCTTTGCCTAGGAGGGCGTCCAAAAGTTCGACGTCCCGCCTCCGAGGGGGGGGTGGGGTGTTCTCGTGAGCTTAGCCAATGGGAGGAGAGGGGCGAGGAGTGGCGAGTTAGGCTGTGATGGCTGAGGTGAGGGGCAGTTTTTTTTAAGTCAGGGAGCGGGTGGCGAGTAGAGGTCGCCGGTCGCCCTGAGGCGAGTCCCCTGCTAGAGCAGAGGCCGCCCCGGAGGAGCCTTCCTCCCCGCCCCCTCGTTTCTGGGGCAAGGCGCCCCCAAGCCCTGACCCCCGTCCCCCAGCCTTCAGGCAGAGGGACCCCCCCACAAAAGCAGGCCCTGACCCCCCCCCCGGGAATTTGGACCCCCTCCCCAAATAGCTATTCTCTTGGGTTATCGCAGGCCCCTTCCCTTACAGCCCCCCTCCCGAATCTCACCTCCCCCGGTGGATAACGTTTCAGGAGCCCCCTCCCACGTTTGCGTTAGGCATTTTAACGCGCCCTCCCCAAATACGTAGTCCAAGGGGTCCTGGCAGGCTTCTTCTTCCCTCCCATCTCCCCACTCCCAGGTATCAGCCGCTCCTGCCTTGCACTGATCCCCTCCCCCATTTGCATGAGGCATCCTAAGACCCCCTCCAGCGTACCTGTTGCACTGGGCCCTAGCAGGGTCCATCCTTCCCTCCAGCTCTGGGTGCTGTATCATTCCTCCCCCTCCCACGAGGAAAAGCAGTCCCTCCAGTCGCCACTCATCTCCCCCTGCCAGCCTCTCCTCTTATATGGGGTTTCTGGGTTATGCCCCTAACAATTGAAAATAATTGCTCCTCCTCCTGCCCTTTCCCCTCTGCACCTTTCTGCGGTGTGTTTGCAAGGACGCCTCCTCACTTCCCCCAAGGATACACAATAACCTCCCCTGTAGGGTCTGGATCCTCTTCTCCAAAACATGTGTGTCTTTTAAAAAAATAAATAAAACCCCATCCCCAGTTGAGCTCTTGTGGCAGCTTTGGAAGGTCCTTCCGCATTCTTTCCCAAGTAATGTTGGGAGTGCTGACCTGCACCTTTCTCCCCTCTCCCTAGTTACAGGCAAGGGATTTGACACTGGCTCATCATTGTATGTTTTTCGGCTCCAGGTTAAGACCTTTTTATTCAATCAATAGTTTAATAAGTTTTAATATCGAATTTTATTTTTGTATTTTATTAATTGCAGCCAGAGTGGGTCGTCAATTTGTTTATGCTGTTAGCCGTCCAGAGACGTTAGTAATTGGACGGCATACAAATTTTATAAATAAATAAATAAAATATTGAACTACCCGTTGCTTGTTCCCTGCTCCCCTTTGTTTGGCAGGATTTCAGTATCTCAAAGCTTCTGAAGGCCAAGCAGAACTTCATCTCAGAGCAAGCTGTTCCCATAAAAATCTCCCAATTGCTCTCATTGGGTAGTCCAAGCAGTTTTGTGGAGCTGCCATTTTGAAAGGGCAGTGCTCCATATTCCCATTTTCTTGCATGTCCCCATCTCAACATGCTCCCATCACTAAGGAGAGAAAATTAGGGGAGCTGTCAGCAAGAGCGGGAGACACGTTAAAGGTGTTGACCCATAGCCCTTTTCCCCAAGGAAAGGCCTGAAGTGGACTAAATTGGATCCCTCCGGGTAGCATCTGAGTCATACCCTTCCGCCACTCAGCTGACCCTTTTGTTACGGACTTTTCCCTGGAGGAGCTGGGGGACCCAAGAGCACCCTTGGTCATTGGATTGGCTTTCCAGGGTTTTCACCATGGCTGGTGCCATTGCATCTCGCATGAGTTTCAGCTCTCTGAAGAGGAAGCAGCCCAAAACATTCACAGTGCGGATCATTACCATGGAGGCGGAGATGGAGTTCAACTGCGAGGTAATGGTTTGTGGCCGTGCTCCCTGTGAGGTCTCTCTTTCGAGGGATATTCTTCGGAGGCAGTGGGAGCTGGTGTAGCCTCTTAGCATTGTATGTGGCCTTCAGAATTGCTTGATTGATTTTGGCTAGTGTACATATGGTGGCAAAGAGGTAAACGTGTGTGCAGATGTGCAGATGCAGGAGAAGCCACTCTTGGAGTTGGGAAATAGTGGTGTGTGAACATAAATGCTTAACTCAGTCAGCTGCAGCTTCTCCTCAAATCATGCCTTCTGAACTTCTCTCCCACTGTTCCGAAGGCAGGCTGTGAGAGGTGATACAGATCAAAGATGGTTGTGGACATAAACGATGAAAGTGTATGGATTGCTCATTAAGAGCTTTTGGTTGGAAATCAAATAGTTAATAATGAATTTAGAAGCTCTCTTCTTGGATTCTGTATGAAAATAATGAATGTTCCCAGATATATGTCTGAAGAACCTCTTCAAATATTTATTTAGATAGCTTTTCATCATTGCTCAAGGCCTGGTTGCTTTTTCACCCCTTCTACCCACAGCATTAATGTTCATTTTGAGCCTGGTACAGCCAGCTTGTCTGATGGTTGCACAGTTAATTGTGAAAATTTAAAGTAAAAAAAAGTGCCCATTAGCATTGCTAGGAAATGCAATTCTCCAAAAGCTGTGCAAAGAATCTGTAGTGAAGTGAGCTTTCCGTTGCATCTTGCAGTTGTTTCTAGGGAATGAACCTTTTAAATTGGGGTTGGTCTTAGTGAAAAAAGTCTTTTGGTGCTTTCAGGAGTGTGGCTTTATTCTGGCATTATGCTTACCTGGGGATGCCTTTGGAAAAGATGTGTGTAAGGTTATTCATGGGACCAGAGCCACTTGGTCAGGTAGTCATCTTAGCACAGAGGTATGCATACCTTCAGTACAGAAAGAGGAAGGGGAAAGTGCACAGTGAGTCATCGGTGCCAACTCATGCCAGAGATAGTTGTAAGTGTAGCATACAAGTGAATACAGGACGAATCAAATCAAAACTCCAACTTTTTGAATGTGACTCATTTCTGACTAGCCTCCATTGGTGCGGAAGAAGGTGTAGCAAGATCAGTAGTGCACATAAAGTCTGAAAGAGGGGCCATTTCCATGCTGAGCTAGAAATTCTCAAGGTTTCCTGAGGTCATATTCCAGTGCCGAATTTGCTAATGGATTTCCTGTTCAGCTGCTTGGCACAACAGTCCCTGTCCATGAGGTGCAGACCAGCAGAGGGAGTTTGATAGCAAGGTCTTTATTTTAGAAGTGCTCTGACTAGAGTTTGGGCCAAGGCAAATGGACCCCAGAAAGAAACTCAAAGAAGCACAGTCTAAAATACTTTTGAAAACACATATTCAGTAGCAGACACTGAAAGCTGAAAGTCACCATGTTTCTGCTGCCTGGCTACTGCTCTGCTGTCACTCCTCCTCTTGCGGGAAGAAGAAGCATCAGCAGCAGCATCTCGAAGGCCGGAGGGGTCATGCCCTCATGGAGTGCTCTTGTTTATTGTGCAGTTCTGTACAGAAAAGAAAACATGCAGAGAACCCACCTTTCTTCATTAATTATGTTTCTTTAGTGCATGTAGGTCTCTGGCTGGTTCACAGAACTTCAAACTATAAATGTATTCCCATAGTAAAACAGAATGTGAAAACCATCTGTTTAAAACAGCACCCAACCAAGCTAAAGGCAAGACAAAAGCCTCCAGCGGTGCAGAGATGTAAAAACATGTGCACATAACATAGAAAACTGAAGGATTCAAAGGTTGGGAAGAGGAAAAGGTCTTTCAGCTGGTGCCAAAAGAGATGCCCAGTGAGCCTCTCCAGGAAGGGCATTTGACAAGTGGGATGCCACCACCGAAGAGGCCCTCTCTTCAGTAGGTATCCTCCTTGCCTCATTGAGTGGGGGCACCTGAAGACTGCCTCCCAGGATGATCTTAAAATCTGGGCTGGTATAGATCTTTCTAAAAGGATGAGGTGGTGGTAGCGGCTGTGCTGTCAAGGGGACAGGCAAACCAGCGGCTTCCTCACCTGATCCTCACCTTGTGCACAGGTAGCTCACAGCCGACAACAGCACCTTCTCATGCCACATGGAAAGAAAGTGCCTGCAGCCCTAGCTCCCCCCAAGAGCAGAGGAAGGGGCTGCACTAGAGCAAACCAGCAGGTATCTTGCTTGTCAGCGTTTGATTTGCTGCTGTGTTGCAGAACACACATAAATAAGCATTAAAATATGATCTTAGAGCATGTGGACAGTGCGGGGCGTCTTCTCGTGGTGCTGGTGACCATTAGGGTAATCACTGTTGTCATGAAGTTAATCATCTGTCTGTGCCGGCCTGCACTTTGGTTTCCTCCAGCCATGCAGTCCACCTCTTCCCTCCACCCTGCTTGCCAGCTGGGGGACAGCGCTTCATGTGTCCAGCATCCACAAACGCTTATGCCTGAATAAATATATTTAAGGTGCTGCGCGAGTCTTTGTTCTTGCGATGCTCCAAGTCTTTCTGTATGACCAAGCAAAGGTCAACCCAGTACATGGGTGCTGTGAAAAAAGCAAACTCCCATGTTAAGTATAATTAGGAAAGGAATTGAAAATAAAACGGCCAAGACCATCCTATTCTTATAAAAATCTGTCATGCAACCACACCTCAAATATTGTGGGCTGTTCCACTTGCTGCAGCCGAAAAGGGACACTGTAAAGCTGGAAAAAAATGCAGAGAAGGCAAATAAAATGATCCAGGTATTGGAGCAGCTTCCCTGTGAACAGAAGTTGCAACAGCTGAGCTTGCTTACCTTAGAAAACAGATGCATAAGGGGAGACAGAAACATACAGAATTGTACATGGTGTGGAGGGGAGGCATTTTCCTTCCTTCCCATAATACTAGAACCCAGTCTCATCCATAAAGCAGATTGGTTCAGGACGGATGAAAGGAAGGACAGCACAGGGTTAAACTCTGGAATTCACTTCCACAAGATGTTGGGATGGCTACCAGTTGAGTGGCTTTAAAAGGGATTGGACACATTCGTGGAGAAGGAGGTTATCTGTGTTTACCTGTCCTGCTGGCTTTGTGCTACCTGCAGGCTCAGAGGCAGACGGTCTGCCTACGTGCCCCAGTTGCTGAGGGACCGTGTGAAAAGTTGTTCGACTATCTTGCCTACTGCATGAAAAGTAGTCTTGACTACTTAAACTGCTTCTGCCCTTAGTTAACTGCCATGGGTTAACTACTGTGCGAGCTGCCTAGGGATGCTGTTGGTGGAATAGGTAGCATATACATATTTTAAATAAATATTAACAATAGTAAATAACTCCCATCCATTAGGGAGTTCAATCTAGTCTGAAAATAAATAGTCACAGAAATGCCAACTGATTGTGCATGAAATGCAGAGATGCCTGCAATTACTAGCAGAGCATGTGACATCTCCTTCCATTCTAACACCTGTTTGCTAGAAGGGAGCTTGGGGTGCCACATTTCTGAGGGCTGTAGGTGCATTTAGAATAGAATAGCCAGGAAGGAAGCAGGTTCACTAGGCTGATGGGAAGGCCTGTATAGACCTCCTGTTTGGCCTAACTTGTATCGATGGGAAATTCTTTCCAAGATCGAGTTAAGGAGCTGGCCTGGATGCGTAAAGCCCTAAAAGGTTTAGGGCCAGATGATTTGAAGGATCTGTATGAACATGCTCCAGCCTTAAGACTGGCTTTGATTTCTGTCCTGCCTTTTCCTTTGTGGTTCCAAGTGTAGAAAGAGCTTCAGCCACACCTGGGCAGGGATAGCTTAGCCGCTGTGAACCCCGGCACCCCCAACTGCTGCAGCATCCCTTTCTGTTCATTTGCAAGTTCCTTCTTAATGTATTGCTGTCCTCCTTCCCTAATCCCTGATCACTTTGACCTCTAAGCCCTTGGGAGCAGGGCTGTGTCACCTCTGCGTGTTAATTGGTGGTAAATGAATAGCACTGCTAGGATTAAAATGGATTGGGGAAGCCCTGTGCAAATGTAATTATATCAGGCCATGCTTGGTGCAAAAGGACCTCTGATTGCATCAAAGCCTTGCTTTGTTTTTCGAGTTAATCTCCAGAGTCCCTAAACGCTGGTACATTTTTTAAAAAAGAAATGTCAATTTTCAACCTAGAGGAAGTAGTTTATATATTAAAATAATTTGAAACTATTTATTTTATTTTACTAACACCCAGTAGCCAAAAAATATTAACTAGTTCAAAATAGTCCTGATATTTTTACTAAAATAATCAGTACTGTTGTAATTTAAGCACTTTTGAATAGTCAGTGCCCATCAGCCGGGATGGGATTCTAAGTCAGCAAATGTGATTGGCTGCCAGTCATCTGTGCACACCTTCCTTACTGCACACAGAATTCTGACTTACTTTCTGTCTTGTGATTTTATTGTATTGTATCAAGCATAATATAGTTGATGAATTTTGTGAACGGTTTGTAATGTGAGCGGAACACTCTGCAGGGCAGAGTGTAAAACATAAAATTGCCTTTTAATTAATAGCCTGACAGGAGCACGAGTGAAATTCTACAAGATCACTCTTGGAGAGCAAAGTCCAGCCTGGACCAGCCTTGGAAAGGCTAGTCTGTGGAATGGGTGCAGGAAGATTGGTCGATCCAGGTAACGGCGACCCTGTGTGGTATAATCCTCCCTTTATCTACTCAGAAATAAGACCGGTTGGTGAGTTGTTAGTGCATTACAGTTATATCTCTCCTTTCTTCCAAAGATGAAAGGCAGTGTACAGGTTTCTTCACCTCTCCATTTTAGCTTCGCAACAACAACCCTGTGAGGTAGGTTAGGGTGAGAGTCCATGACTGGCCCAGAGGCACTAGTGAGCTTTATAGCAGACTGGAACCCAGCCCTCCCAAGTCCCAGCCCGACACTCTCGCCACTACGCCGCTCTTGCTTTCTGGGTTTAGTGGGCCGTTCTCCTTTGTGCGTACACACAGGATTGTAAATCGAGTTAAAGGAATTCCTCTGTTAAG